TAGACCACTGAGCCATCTCTCTCTCCAGCCCTCCTGATAATTCTTAATACTTTTTGTTTTGTTTTGTTTTTATTTTTTATTTATTTATTTTTTGTTGTTTTGGTTTTAGACAGGGTCTCGATCTGCAGTTCAGGCTGGCCTTGAACTCACTTTGTAGACCAGGCTGGTCTTGAACTCACAAGGATCCTCCTGCCTCTGCCTCTGGAGTACTGGGATCACAGGTGCGCACGCACCATCATGCTCCTGGGGTTGACAATAGTCACTACCTTGTCAGTTTTCTGATGCTGTCGATTACATTTTCAAGCTATTTTGTCCAGCTTTTCTAGTTATCTTCTGCAGGAAGGTTTATTTAGTGTCCCATTATCAGAAGGCAGAAATCCTCTGTCTCTTCTAATGGTCCCCTTATTTCTGAGTGTAGAATGTCTGGGCATATAGTTTACATGGCTGCGTACTGTTGCACCAGTCGCCTGAGCCTCACTTTCTTGCCTGATTTATCTTCAGTTGGAAATTTTAGTGGTCTACCTCCCCATTGCTCAGGGTTTCCCATGATTCACAGTGGAGTGTCCTCCATCAGTTTAAGCAGAGAGGTATGTTTTCTTTTGCTAAGGATGAAGCCGGGACCCAATGCACCCTAAGCAAGCGCCTTCCCAGTGATCCTGGCAGTGGACACTGTCTGCAGGAGGGCCAGCCAGCAGGCCAGGGGTGAGTACTACCTGGCCAGGAACAGAAGAGAGAGAAAGTTCCTTCTCAGCTTCTAGTAGCTGCCACCTGCTGCTTGGTAGCCATGGCACTGGGGACTAGGCAGGACCCGCATCTGAGCTGTGCCGCTAGAACTAGATGTCACCGCTGCCTTGCTGGCCTCAACAGAAGCTTCCCATCCTGAGCGCTGCCTTTCCTTGGGAGTGCACATGGCAGCTGTGGAGGAGCTCACGCCCGAGGTGTTGCTCAGCGGAAGGAACACCAAAGGTGCGGCAGGAAGGGTGCCAAGATGCCAGGCACTGGGGCGACGCGGGGGCAACGCCTCGACTTGGGGCCCCCCAAGAGCGGCATCTCTGCCGCCGGCCTTCCCAAGGTGCTTGAGTCTGCGTTCCTGGACTTGTGGAGAACAGCAGAGGGGCCTCAGCCTTGGCTGAGAAAGGGGGGCCCTCTGCACCTCACAATCTGGACATCAGAGCTGCTTCTTGTCTCGGCTTTTATTGGGAAGCAAAGGGGAGCTGAACAGGAAGCTTTTGCAGCATTTTTTTTTTTTTTTTAAATAAAGTAGCACAGACCTGGCCACTTAGAAAGGACGGAGTGCTGGAGCCCGGGCAGCCCGAGGACACAGCCTCTGAACCTGGCCAGGGCCTGTTTCTGGGTTGCAGCACAGCACAAGTGTTCTCATGGTGAGGGATATGCGAGAGGCACGTGAGACGCGGAGACACAGGACACCAGCGACACCATCCTTGTCATCCCACTCCTGGCCGTCCTGCTCCGGAGGCAAGTGTAGCCACGATAATGGCGTTAATCCACCCATGAGTGCGATGCCCAGGAGACCTAATTAGCTCTTCAAGGTCTCTCCTCCCAATACCTCCACGATGCCACCGAATTTCAGTCTTGGCTGGGTGTCCAGCCCAGAGACAGCGCGTTTGCAAGGGCCTGCATCTGACCCCCAGCACTGCCAAAGGAAACAAGCAAATAGGCTCCCCATGAGGCTGTGGGTGGGGGGTAAGGATCCACAGCACTGCAAGGGCTGTGGGGCTGCAAGAAACTTCAAGGAAAGGACCGAGGTTCTCGTGGCCGCCCCTCATCACCGCTGTGAGCAAGGACCCTGAAAGGGCTGATAGTGTCCTCTATGTGGCTGTCCCCTCAGACCCAGGCCTGTGGGACACTGGGCAGTCTCCCATTGGGTGGCAGACCTTGAAGGGGGTCTCACGAACAGACTGAATGGGTATTCTTGGGCATGGAAGTTCTGCCTGGGGGTTTTCCTGTCTGTGATAATCCAAGGAATACCAGCTTCGTTGAAAGGACTGCCTTACAACTTAGTGTTGTTAGTTTTAAGATGATGTATTTGGCAGTGTAAGTAGCTGTTTGTTAAGGTTACAATGAAGCAAACTCCAAGGGGCCTACAGCCTAAAGTATGCAGCAGAATGTCACCAAGATCCTTGACGTGAACCGTCCCCTCCTCTTCACCCAGACCCGTCTCCTCCACACACGGGGTGGCCTTCGTTCCCGGGGCCAGGAGCAGTCCCCAAGGTCCTGCAGGAGTGTTCACCATGACCAGGCAGGGTCGGGCTGAACTTGCTAATGAGAGTCAGAGGTAGGGGAAGTGGAACAGAGGTTCAGAGAAGGGACAAAGACCCAAGTCCAGGGCTGGACTTCCCCTCAGCTACAATCCTCATCCTGCCTTTTATTGGCTGTGATCCTGACCACCTTGCTGTGTGTTCCTTTCCTGTTTTTAAGGTGGGGAAACCATAAAACCTACCTTGGAGGTATTATGTTCAGAGCCTGGCAAATGGCAAGCACTTGAGAGGAACCAGCCGTGGTCACTACTGACCTCAAGTGGGAGGCCATGTCCACTGAGGACAGCAGGATGCATATGGACAGCAGGAGACCAGACACACTGACTGGGTGCAGGGGTGGGACACAGCCCCGCCGTGGGAGGGGGCATTCCCGTTCTGCCCCTACCTTGTATCCCTGGCACTGTCCCTTCTGGAACCTGGGCACCTGGGGGGGCACCCAGGAAACTAGGGGCGGCCCAGAGCCCCTGGGAACTGCAGAACGCAGCAGCTCCAGGAGGATCTGACAAGTCGGCCTCTGGCCTTGCTCCTGTAGCAGCTCTGCCGGGAGGCAGGCTGGTATGGGAGCATTTTAATGTCTTCTCAATACATAATCTGGGATTAGATGCCATTCACATGACCTTTGTCCGTTCTTGCCTGGAGCCACTGAAATGTGAGTTAATAAGTACTGGAGGAAGCGGGCCGGCCTGCCAGGGGGGCCGAGCTCCTCGCCCTCAGATGCTCTAGCCTCCCCTCACGGTGGCCATTCTACTTTCAAAATTCCCGTCTGGGGGCTGCATTAGCCACGTGCCCGGTAGCAACACTGGGGGCCCGTCCTGAGGCCCAGCGCAGTTTGCTGCAGTAGCTGGTTCAGGGGAGCTGCGCGAACTGCTCATGCTGTTGGAGCGCCCCGCGGAGCTCTGTGCGCCCCTGGAGCCGCAGCTCATGGCGGCATGTGCACCACCTGCGGGCCCTGGTGGGGTCTCACGGCCTCAGCCACTGCATCAGTGCTCCGCGGCCACTCTACCAGAGCAGGGTCTGACGTGTGCTCTGAAGATCATGCTGAGGTCAGCTCAGGGGAGAGGGCAGGCCCTGTAAGGCGGGGAAAAGGGTCGCTGGAGTGCCAGGCCTGGGTCTGGCCTCCAGTGCGTTTATCACTGTAACCTGCGCCGCTTCCTGCGTTCGTTTCCTTACCTGGAAATTGCACAAGTCCCTTCTGTGCATCTTAGGATTAATGCAAAAATCAGATGTCACGGGAGAGTTCTTCACCAGTGCTGCCTCCTGAAGGTGTCAGTGCTGCCCGTCTACCACATACTTCCCATACTGACCTCAGGTCAAAAGCAGGGGTCCTCATGCCTGATATGCTTCCCTGGAGCGAAGACCACTCGGATCTTCTCGGAGCTGAGGCCCACCGCGGGCCTCTGTGTCCCGCCCTAGCTTGTGGCCCCTCATTGTCTTAAAGTGGGCAAATGCTTCCTGGCAGCCCCTAGGTAAGGAGAGGCGAGGGCACCAGGGGGTAGAGAACCAAATATAGAAAACTGAGCCACTTGCCCAGCCTGTTCCACTGGGGCTTTCCATTTGCTAATGAGTAAGGAACTTGGCTGTAGACAGGTATGTGAGAGGGTGGGGAGGACCGCACCACTGTGTCCAAGCACGTGGAGAGGCAGGGCAGTGGCTACCTGGAGTGCCCAATGCCGCCAACTGCTCCCTCAGTCACATCAGCACCTCTGTTCTGTTCATCTTAACCCAGCTCACAGGTGGAACGACTGAGCCAGGAGGTCAAGTCAGTTTGCCTGAAAGGGGGAACGGTGGAGCTAGGCCCTTACACCATGATGTGTGAGGCTGGTACTGTGGGGACATTTTAAACATGCACAAAGGAGGGTCACAGAACAGGGCACAGGCTGGGGGCTGGTGTGGGTGCCTAAGATGCGACATGGAACCTGATGGGACACTCAAATCATTAATAAAACAAAGTCAAGCTCCCCAAGTGTGCCTCCATGCTCACTGTGGAGTGCGCTTCAGCCTCGAGGGCATCGTGCCAAGTGAAGGAAGCCAGTTACAGGAAGGGCAAGCACTGTGTGTGATGCCACTTAGCGGGGTCCCTGGAGCAGCGGGATCCGGAGACAAGAGAATGGAGCAGTGCCAGCGGGCGGGAAGCAGCCATCCTTTTGCCAGACGCAGCGTTCCAGGGACATGCTCCAGAGCAGTGGGGAGGGCTGCAGTGGGGAGGGCTGCACGGCAGCATGCTTGTGCTGAACACCCCTGCACTGCACATTCAGGGATCAGGAAGGCATGGCTTGCCGTATGCTTATTATATGTTAAGTTTAAGAACTGGAGAGAAAGTCTAAAGAAAAATTGTGCATGTTTCTCTAAGACCCTCTCCACAGGCCACGCTCCACAGAGCCCAGCGTGCAGGGGGGTGCACAGGCAGCAGGGACAGGCCGGTGGCGGGAGCGTGGGTGCCTGCCCTCGCAGCTCTCAGTGCGGTCCTCACAAAGTCAAGGTCAGCTTTCTGCTCCTCCCAGTCTCTGTGGAGGTGAAGGTTCCAGAGCGGAGGAGTAAAGGGAGCCACAGAAGGAGCCCTGTGCCTGCAGCCTCCAGCAGTGTGGCTGGGGCTCTGCCGCGTACAGGAGCCATGCCCGGCAGACACCAGTCAGGGTGGGGACCTCTTCCCGGCACGCACAGAAGGGCAAGCTACCTACAGGGTGCGGTGACATGCAACAGCAGAAACGCAGGAGACTGAATTAAGTTTCATTTATTCTAGGGCAAACTCAAAAGGGTTTTTTTTTGTTTGTTTTGTTTTCTTTTTTAGCAAATCCTAGCACATTATTAACAAAAAAATCTGTACATTTTCCATGATACACTTGAGAGTGAAACAAATAAGATATAAATACAGATATGGATGTAACATGAAAAAGCCCCCCAAAAATCTCCCAACAAAACAAAACAGAAAACCCACCCAGCCTGGGGGTGGGGACCATGCCTGTGAAGACAGTGCCAACAGAACTATTTTGGTGGCTGATATTTTTCAGAGCATTTCTTTTTTTATTTCCAAACGTTGTTAGCAGAGTCCTCGTAGGGTTCTACACAGTTCTTATATGCTGTCCTTTAAAGTGTGGTATTATGCTTGATAATAAAGGGTGGTAGGGTAAGAAAACGATGTATGAGACGACATCGTGTTACCTGCACGGGGTGTGGTAAGCTAGTGGTGAGCATAGAAAAGGCAGGCGGTGGTGGCGCGCGGTATACAGGGCCCGCGCCATGAAGACCAGCCCCCGGGGAGGTGGCAGCTCAGGGAAGTGGGAAGTCGGAGGAGCCAGCCCCTCGCCGGGGCCCAGGGGTGTCGAGGCTCCGGACAGTCAAGTAGACGGGGAGGCAAACGCAGTCCTGGTGCTCTGTTGTGTCCTGTGGACGGAGCCCTGCAGGGAGGCAGCGGGGGCGGGCGCGGCCAAGGGCGGTGGGGGCGCAGCCGCCCTGCAGTGAGGTGGTGGCGGCATGCAAGTCTACTCGGCGAGGCCGGCAGCAGTTCGCAGATTGAGGCCAAGAGACTTGTGATTGTATCTCTCTAGTCAGGAGATGGGAGGGGCGAGTGACATTCACGGTAGCCCTTTGTGAGTACTGAGAGGGTACCAGCAGTGTTCAAGAGCCTTCCAGCTGTTCTGGCAACCGTGGTGACCTTCTGGGAACCAAAGGGTCCCTAGAGCGGTCTTTCTAACTGCACCAGGCAGAAGAGATTCATAAATATCCTGCCTGGGAGGCACATTTCTACCACAGAGGAGGTCACAGGGCTCTGGGACTTGTGTGTGAAAAGAAATCCCATGAATATACACAGAAACAAACAGACAAACAAATAGTATTTATCACTGAAAGTAAGGCCTGGTCTGGCTATGTTTTGAGCCTAGGTCAGTCAGTAACATTTACCCCTTACAATGCATCCCTGGATTTCCCCAGACAGCAGCGGTGGAGCACTTCCTATGTGTAAGATAATCTATCCGTATCCGGGCCTTCATTTTTAATGCTTATTTCCAAATAATTGTACCTGCCCTTCACAGGTCCTTGCTGATTCTGAAAGGGGGGGCGGGGTGTGACCAGGCTGAGGAACACAGGGGTGACACCCCAGGTCCTACTTTCAGTCCTAGTGGCTTGGCTTCTGCCAATGCTGTGTCTTGCTGAAATTAATGTCCAAAGCAGCTTTTTCCTTACCGAAGGATCTGTTCAATTAAAGGATCTAAAATAGAACAGCAGTAAAAGAAGTCTTCATGATTGCGTTGAGAATTACCATTTGGCTTAGGAATTTTCCTCAGAACATAATGTAGTCAGACTCCAGATGTACAGTTACTTCCTTTGGAGCAATCAGACCCATAGGACGTTAAAACGTAACAGGAGCCCAGGGGTTTCCCAGGGAGGGAACAGCCTCCAAAAGTACACTGCAAATCCTGTTGGCTACAATCTGCCTCTTGTCACGATTACTTTTTCCGTAAGCTTACAGAATTCAAAGCATTGATTCCATTACTGGGGCTGGGGTGCAGCTCAGTGGTAGAGAGCTGGCCTAGCATGCAGCAAAGCACAGCTTCAATCTTTACTGCCAAAGAAAGATTCTGATTCCTAGTCTCGCTAGACCTTTCCTGGCTCTTAATCCCCTGCCAAAGTGGGGAAGTCAAAAGTGGAATGGTGAAATTGCTATTTGCCACATGAACTGAGCACATTTAAGAAATGAACAGCTCAGGCAAACAGTGTTAAGCCACCAACGTGCTCTCCTGGGAGAGTCCCACTGCAATAGGCTTCCCCAAGATCTCAGCAGGGAAATGGACAAGAAACCTCCCTCACACCTTCTGCACTCCACGAAAGGCCTTTTCAGGCATCCCTAACCTGCTGTAATTCTCCTTGCTTTTGTGGTTTCACTTCAACTTAAAGGATTTTTTTGAACAGCGACTTCAGGGCTGGGGGGAGACTGGGGCAGTCCTGGCTGCACCAAGGCCCAAGCAAGTGGCTCCTGCCTGACAGGACAGGTGACGTGGCGGCTGGCTTCAGGCTCTCCTCTCCTTGCTGGGATCTGAGCTCCATGCTTACTAGGTCTCAAAATACAACCTACAGACACGTGACCTTTCTCAGTGTTGGCTCAGAAAAGGGTGGGCTCGGCCCCACACAGGCCATGCTCCTAAGAATACAAGCTAAGAATGAGGGACAAAAGGGGACCCCACCCCCAAATATGTTATTGACAAACAAAATGCTACTGTCTATCGAGTACTGCTCAACAGCTGTGGGTCTGGGAACTAGCCCCGCCTCCCACGTGGTTTTGTGATCTCAGAGGTGGTAGGAGATGCGTAATATGGCTCTGTTTGCTTCTCATTCCTTCTGTTCTATGGAGACGGTGATATAGGCCTTGCTTCTGTTACATTCAATACCAGTAAGATTCTACACAAAAGCTGGAAGGGACCAAAATACTGATTGTAATAAATATGCGCGGGCCTCCTCGTACTGACAGGGCAGCTGATGGGGGTCTCCAGGGCACCACCGATAGCAGGTGGTACGCAGACACAGGTGCTGCCACTAGCTGTGTGTGGACACGTCGGAGGAGGAGCTGCTGTTGCTGTTGGTGGTCTGGGCCCGCTTTATGTATAAGTTTAGCAGCTTCATCTGCAGAGAAGACACAAATGAGTCAGCAGAGGAAAGCAATCAGAAGAACACAGAAAAACTGTGACACAAACCGCCTGTCCCCTAATTTCCTGGTGGGGACTTCATTATACAAACATGAGGGTCACAAGTGGAGGAGGTGGCCAGAGTCTAGAAGACAGAGCAAAACAATTGGTTGCTACAAAGAAGAGCTAAGGGTCACAACCTTGTAACACAGTGGCAGGCCACAGGGGCTGCTGGAGGAAGGGCCGAGTGCAGAGCCCCAGGCTGTGCCGATTCCTTCCTTCCTGCAGCTCCCTTTCTGGCTTTGAAACTGCCTGATGCTGAAGCTCCTCTGATTTACCTCGCACAGCCCCTCCTGGGGGGAGTCCAGCTGGGAACAACTCATGCTCCCTGCCTGTGCTCTGGCCTGTCATCTGGAGTTGGCATGTGTGGCCTCACACTATGGTTAGGGGGGGCTTTCTTGTCCCCTTCCAAGAGGCTAGGCCTCCTGGAGGCAGGACAGTATCAGCAAATAACACTAATGCAGACTGACAACATACTTTACAATGACAGGCCTTCCCCTTCAAAACACAAAACCGCTGGTGACACTGTAGGTGTTTATCAAATAGTAGCTGAAGGCCACTAAGCTAATACAATACATACAAAAGCAGAATGTCCATAAAAATCCAAGTAACAAGCAACTCGTAAGATCCCAGGAATTATAAAAAACTGATCGCCCACAGCACTGTGATCTCCAGCGTCCTGCTGAAGACTCACTGCGGGGGACGTGCAGGCTACAGGAGGAAGCGGGCGCTGCACTAGCAGCGGGAAGCCAGTGGGCAAGTGTCTGGACCCTGCCACTCACCCTGAAGGGCTGTCTGCAGGTGTGTCCCCTGCGTGCTGGCTGAGTGGGTTAATACGACCTAGCCATCTGCTGACTATGAGAGTCCCTTTAGATCCAGAGACAGATTGAAAAATGAAAAGACAGAAAAAGATAGTCTATATGTATATAGTAATAGAGAAGAATCAGAATAGGCTTTAAATTAAGAAAGATTATCAGAGACAAAGAAGGACAGCATGTATCAGGAAGAGGTGTCATATGGCAGGAAGATCTAGCAACTTTTTTTGTATTTCTGTATCTACTAACAGATCTATTTGCTACGTGAAACAGAACTCAGGGTGTGAGGGAGAAATGGGCCCACAGCAACAGCTGTAGACTTTGATGCTTCACTCGCAGCTATGGGGGCACAGCGGGACACAGCGCAGTGACGCCAGGCACCACGAGGCCCTGGCCCACAGGCACTCCATGACACTCGCCTAGTGCAGCAAACACCTTTCCCCATGCGCATGTGGCAGGCCCTAGTTCAGGCTACACAGTGAGGGCGCGCAGACTAAAAAGGGAGGCGTCACGCCAAGTGTCCCCTCCAACCCCAGCAGGATGAAGTCAGAAGAAACTGCCAAGTTACACGTATCTAGAGACAAATGACAATAGCACAGCATTTAAAAACTTTTGGACAAGGTTACTGACATCTGTAAATGCTTGTATGAATATAAAAAAGAGGAACTATGACACCAACAACCTAATTTTACACTTTTGGGAAGCAGAAAAGAACTAAACCAAAGCTATATATTTAGAAAATAATGATCGATAGAGCAGGCATAAAGGAAAACAAAGATAGAAAAAAAAGAAAAGTGGTTCTTTGACAAGATTAACAAAACTGACAAATCTTTACCTTGCTAGACTGAGAAAAGACGGATGCAGCTTCTAAATCATTTATCTATACCACCCGGCTGCTTCTTCCAACCTTCCTGCCTGTGCCTCTCTGTCCAGAACTCTGGGCCCACGGGATGCTCCCTAAGTGTGTCACAGGAGCAGCTCACTGCGCAAAGGCAGGGCCTTGTCACTGGCTGGTTTCTCCTCTCCCAAAAAGGAGGCCCAGGTGCTTCGGCCTCCTGGCTTCCCACTGGCCTAGTTCCACACAGAAGCTGTATCCACGCCTGTGTAGGGGCCCTTGAAGCTCAGCAGACACACTGCACTACCTTACAGGTGGCCCCTGTAGCCGCAGGCCCAGCAGCCTGGCCAGCCTCCTCTCTGGAGTCCATGCCCTTCTCCTCCACAGCACTAGCGCTTCTATCTGCTCCTCACTGGGTCTGGTACGCTAGATCTGAGTTGCTTTTCATAGAAATATTTAGCCCAAAGAATATTCTAGCCATGCCCACCTTCGATAAGCCCTCAGCCCTCTGGTCCATTTTCTTCCTTTGATTCTAGAACACAAGGGAGCACGAATGGGTCTTGGAGTCTGATCTCGGCCGTGTCCTTGTGCAGGCTAGAGGAGGTGACCCTGCTCATCCCACAGGGGTGTCAGGAGCAGAGCACATGCCCGGCACGTGCCACGGTGCTCGGGGTGCTACAGGACAGGTTGTGGGGCCCTGTCACTACAGCTGATACCCATTTGTTAACCTCTTAGGTAAATTTCCTCAGTGTTTTTGCAAGAAAACCAGCTGGCTTCTAAACAAAGTTGTCTTTCTTTTGTGAATAAACTAGAAGCCAAGTTTTCTTTTCAAAAACAGGAGTTAAAGTACACTGACATGAGAGTCACCTTAAACTTCACTAGCCAGTCATTTTCCTCGTAGAAAAAACATCTTTTGAGAACTACGGCCCAGCTGAAACACATCTGATGAGAAAAAGCCCGTCTGCAGCCTGGGGACGCTGCCAAGCAGGTTCATGACCAGCTGGCAGGGCCGGGTGCGGGCATCAGCCTGTAACTCTATACGTACCTTGCTCCCCGTGAGCTGTGCGAGGTGAGGTTTCAGATCTTCTCCGATTACGGAATAAATTGCCACTAAGCAAAACACGCTGGCCTTGCGCACACTGCTTTCGGTGTTGTCATAACCCTGGAGAGCCAGAGGGGAGCATGGCAGGAAATCAGATCAAAGACTTGCGTAGGGATTTCAGCAACACTTCCGCAGATGCCCCCGCAGCTCGGCACCGTGCTCGTCAGTAACAACTAGGATACACTTCAGACCTGCAGCTGAACTCAGGGAATCTTCCCCGGGGTCGGCACTGACTGGTGTCAAGGCTGGCCTGCTGCCTGGGGTGCAGGGACAGGCGGCAGGATAGCGCCAGCGAACCTGCCTCTACATGGCATTGCTATGTGATCTGATGTCACTGAAAGGCATCTTTTTTAAGAATGTATTTAGTACAGTGTCTCACTACACAGCCCAGACTGGTAGTGATCTTCCTGTTTTCAGCGTCCCCAGCACAGGTATTACAGGGGCGCACTACTGCCCCTGGTCTCGGTGGCTGGCTCAGCATGCCTGGTGGCTGGGCCAGCAAGGCATGTGGTGCCAGGGATTGAACCCTGGTCCCTGTGCTTGCCTAAGCAGCTGCTTAGTCTGTTGAGCTATCTCGCCAGCCCACTGAAAGACATCTTCAGAGAGAAAATAAGAAAAGGAAATGTAAAAGACTTGCCTCTTTTACATTTTACCTGGTGGTAAAGCAAATTTCACATGTGAAAATGCCTTTAAAGAAATAAAAAAAAAGAAATGAGAATCACTCACTCTTGTGGGCAGAAGCCCTTCATCCTCCAGTGAGTGCAGGAATCCTTCTAATCCTCTGGGTCTGAGCCTCAACCTACCTGTGAGGCTCATCTTCGCCTCACCCAAACGGGGCCACTGGCTGCTGTCCTAACAGTTTTGTGACCTTCCCAGCTTGGTGCCTTTTTCTCTACAGCAATCTACAGTCCCCAGTCAAGTGCTCTGCAAACACTAGCATTTGTTTAAGTGGGGAGCAGATTCCTCGACCTTCTTCCAGTGACACTCCTCTTTTGCCACACTTGGGGGTACACACGTGTAATTCCAGCACTCAGGGGGCTGAGGTAAGAGCCTCAAGTTATAGCCAGTCTGAGTTATGTAGTAACATCTTCTCTCAAAAAACCAAACCAATCCAAAAAGCTTTTCTCTCTTACTCCAACCTGGAAGCAACCTCTCTACATGACGCAGCACACAGCACCGTCACCTCCTGCTGCCATGGGGCTGCACCAAGCCCAAGGGCAGGCTGGCAAGCCCTCGTGGTGATGTCACACGATGCAACAACTCTGGCCTGCCAGTCTGCTAGCTCCCTGCCTTGTGAGCATAAGAGTTCTGGGCTACTGAGGGCCTCATCTGACTCACCACTGCCTGGCCCATGTCACCCAACACAGCGGTCACGGTCACGGGAGGTACACCACAGGGGTTTGTTGAAGGAATGAACAAAAGGAAATGACCAAAACATGTTGACAGTAAGCAGAAACTCTGTTCCAGGCTGCCAGAGGTTCTGAAGAGCAGGTTGCTGCCTGCAGATTCCCCACACTCCTGCACTAAGTGGGGACGCAGGGCCCCATGGGATTTCAAAGGGAGCAGCCCTTCAAGGGGAACAGTGCCCACCTGCAGCAAGCCAGGGATGATGTCGGCGAGGAGCTGCAGCAAGGAATCCTTGGCAATCCTCTCCACAACTTTGGTCTGCATCTTGATGGCGGCGAGGTTGATGGGGTAGTCGGCCGTCTGGATGATGGGACAGAGCACTTTGATGCACTGCTCCGGGTGGATGGAACTGGCCAGCGTAGACGCAGCCTCCTCAGCAGCTCGCACCACCTGAAACACCCAGTTCCCCACGGTGAGCAAAACCAAACTCCGTAGCCTTGTACGCAGGATGCCGGCTGGCAGCACCACCTCCACTGGCCAGCACAGAGAGGACAGACAGTGTGCTTGGGGTCACTTTAGAGTGGGCCTGGGGGACGTGGCAAAAGCCTAGCTGTGTGGCCTCCAAAGACAGCCTGAGCAGTAGCCGCCTGGGACCTCTTCAGTAATGCAGCTACTCAGTATACCCCAGGCCTGCAAGCCCAGAGGGCCCCTGACCAGAAGTGGGATCCAGGGAGGAGGCCCTTGAAATGAGTCGCTAGCACGGGGGAATCTCTGCCCCAGAAGCCTGGCACCTGGAAACAGAAATGCTTGTGAGCTGCTCCTCACAGGGACCACACTGCAAAGCAGCTGTACGGGTTCAGGGAGAAGCTTCTCAAAGTGTCTTCCTGGGGAATAACTGGAAAGTTCCTTTCTAGGAACTTATGCCATGGTAGTGCCTTCTAGTATGAAGGGCATGAAGTGCCTGCCTCACAGCCAAAGGTCCCCTAGAGAGCCAGAGACCCTCTCATCATAACAAACACAGCCGAGCACAAAACCCAGTGAGGAAAGGAAAGTGGAGAGAGGCTCGGAACTCGTGGAAGGAACTTCCCACTCTTCACAGCACAGGGGCATGTATACTGTGACACATACCTGAACATACGCAGCTATACGCAGGTATACATTTTCTTATGAAGCGCAGTGAAAATCTAACACATTCCCCCAGGGCCAGCCCAGCACCGGGCATGCAGTCCACCCAGACTCTGCACTGTGCTGGAGTAACTGAGCCCCATCTGCATACAGCACTACGATGGAGGCAATGACGGAGCCAACCTGAGGCTCCGTGACATAAGCACAGATGGGGCCTGCATCTCACATGGGGACTAGCTAGAGAGCTGCTTCTATTCTGGGCCAGAACGGCAAAGCCGCCCATGCACACGCACCAGCAGGGCTCCTGAGGCTCCACGTGCTGCCACCCAGCTGTAGAAGAGCTTCCAGCCATGGCCCCACACCCTACCCTTCATCTCCATCTTGAAATGCCCCCCGAGGCATGGCCCGGTTCCACAGGGGCTGGGCTGCCTCCTTGCCTGGCCCACACGCTGCCTTCCCCAGGCTTTACCCATCCGTGCCCTACTGATCCACAGGCCTCACCACAGGACCCCAGGAAGTCTGCATGCACACCTCACCACGGTCAGTGCCTTCTGAGCCCGCCCCTCCCAGCAGGTGAAACCTCTCCGAGGGGCAAGGCCTCCTCTGAGCTCGCTCTCCCCCGGACTGGGACTTACTGCTAATATCCAGCAGGTGCTTTTCCTTCTTAGTGCTTCCCTGGAGTGTGAAAGTCACCCTAGCACAGGCCACACTGACTTGTATTTGTTTCCCAACTAAGGAGCGAGCAGAGGAATTGCGAGGGCAAGACATGGCGAATGACCCACGTGGACCCGGGGCAAAGCATGTGCACCAGCCAGCATCCCACTCCAGGTGATACACGGCTCTTTGGAGAAGAGACCCGCTCAGGCCAACCTCTGCAGTAATCAGCTGCTGAAGAGGGTGGCAAGCCTCTCGGGTCAGCTCCATCAAGTGGCCTCAGTCTGCGCAGGTCCCCATGGCTGGTCTGAGTGCAGGGTCCTTGGGCGGATCAAGCAGACGAGAGACAGTCCTTGTCTAACGCGGTCCAGCCCTGAGATAGTGAGCGGTCACTACATGCAAGCATTGCAGCACACTGGCCAGAAGGCTGAGGACTTCTGACCTTAGTGTTTAAATGTGGGTAAAAAAATGAACGGGCAGGAAAACGCTGGCTGATTTGGTCGTATGCTTAAGTACGAGCGCACTGATTTGTAGGAATTGATGTTTACGATCCTATTAGGGTTGAAAGAACAGGGAATTTAGGGGTGGGATAGGTGAGCCCCACCAGTGTCACTCTCATTGTGAAGGAAGTGAGCTAACAGTCTCCTGGAACCCCTGGGGATGCAACGGGATTAACAAGGTGTGGCAATCCACTCACTGCCAGCTGTGTGCTTTCTTCCTTCCCTGCCCAACTCCACTTTTCTACTGCCATGCAGGTTTAAGGGAATTACCTGTGGTGAAACCACTCCAGATCTGCCGAGCTAAGCCCCAACTCCAAGAATTTTTTAGGAAACTCCAGGTATCCTAGAGAGGGTCTCCACAAAGTGTTTCATGAAATATTTCTGAGATGGGTATGTGTGTGCAAATGTATGTGTGTGTAAGTATGGTGTCGGGGGCTGCATATCCAGATATGGCACCTCTCTTTTACTGGGGTGAAAGCACCTTTCCCAAGACGAGCCCTGGCTCTGGAAGTGCTGGTCAGTGTTCTCAGTTTCCCTCCAAGCGCAAGTCCTGGTTTGGCGAGCTGCCTGCACCAGGTTGAACCTTAGGCTCTGCCCTGTGCTCTACGTAACGTAAGAGGCAAAGATCATAAATGAAAGCCATCAGCAAGCAGAGGTAGACACGGGCAATGGGGGGGGACACGCTGCTTAGCAGGCCAGGTGGCGAGGCGTTTTCTTGGGGGAGGAGGTGGGTACATTCAAACAGGAGCAAGAAGATGCCTGCTCTGGAGTCACCAAATGCTGTTCCAACTCTGCTCACTTTGCTAGCATCTAGTTAGAAGCAGGAATTCTTCCCTTTCAAAGTGAGATAATGTCTAGCTAAGAAAAGCTTAATTTTCACATGAAGCTTTTTAAGAAAATGGGATCACCACTCAGAATACTGCCCACTGTTTGCTTAAAGACAGCGTTTCCTTAAGAGCACAGACGTTCTCAACATTTGGACTATGTGTTTTAAGTTCATAAAGTTTGATTTGGCTCTGTCTGAGACACATCAGAACAACTAGCTCAAAAAAAAAAAAAAAAACAAAAAAAAACCCAACAAAAAAAAACCCTCTCAAAACCAAACCAAAACAGCAACCATCCAGAAACAACAATGGCTGGAATCAGAGCTCTTTAAAGAAGGGCAGCTGAGTGGAGCTTCTGGACCACTGCAAAGTGTCCTCTTCCTGAAATGGCTACACTGACAAGTATGAGGGTCCTGCTGCTTGGCATTCATCTCAGGATAATGAGGGGAGATGGCCAGTGCCCAGAGTGGCACCAACACTGGGTCCTCTGGTGGAGTCGGCACGGGCCTGAACCCCAATCTCCCTGTAGCTGAGCTCGGTATCAGAGGGAAGAGAGAAGAACCCCCAGGCTATCTGGTTCTGTCCTCAGCGACTGCAGGGAAAGGTCTCCCATTTTCCAGGATTCAGTTTTCCTCACCAGTAAAATCAAAGGAAGAAATGAATGGAGAACTTAAAATTATTGTGCATTCTAAAATTGTACCATGCCCCTCTACTTAATGAGCAGCTCTCCTCCAAATGCACACGTGTAAAACCAGGGCTTCAAAGACGTGAAGAGGGGTGGCATCTGAAGGAAACCACCTCTAACTGTGGTCACCCAGCCTTGCCTGGAACAGCAAGAGTAACACAGGATGCATCTTCAAATGTGGCAAGACCTAGCCTTGTCCCACTGCCACCGGGAGCCCCGAGGCCAACAGGGGAAACAGTGAGAGCTGGACGAGGGGCCAGGCCATCCAGGTGGTGCTGGGCACCGGACGGGAAGCTGGGCAGCGCAAACGTGCCTCCTCCTCTGCACTGCTAATCCCAGGGTCTGTCTCCAACATCTCAGTGTGTTCTAGCCTCACAGACAATGCACAGGCTCAAGCCAAAGACAAAGTGTGTTTACTTGGAGTTTCACAGTTTATTTAACTGAATTTAAATGGCTTCTTAGGCATATTTAGAGTAATACAATTGTATCTGTTTTGGGAAAATAAAAAAGCAAACTTTCAATATTCAGAAGATTCTTTAATCTAGGAGTTAATTGGAAAGATTCTCACCCTGACTAACTATATATACTGATATCTGTGAACTAAGCTACTGCACTGCA